CTTGAAATACACTCCCTGACAAGAAGTAAAAATTAGTAAACTGGGTCTCATTGCTCATGCTTGTAATCCTAGCTACTTCGGAGATTGAAACTGGTAGATCACGGTTTGAGGTCAGCCTAGGCAAGGAAGTTCATGAAATCTCAATCAATAAAAAAGTTGGGTACAGTATATGAACCTGTCATTCCAGCTGTTTACATGTGTAAACAGAAGGACTGTGGTCCAGGCTGGCTTGTGCATGAATGTGAGATCTTATTCAGAGAAAGCAGGAATAAAGGACTATAAGCATGATTCAAATGGTATAGCATCTGCTATGCAAGTGCAAAGCCCTGAGTTCAAACTTCAATAACACTAAAAGAGAAAGAGAAAAAAGAAAATCAGCAAACTGAACCAGGCAATGTAAATAATATACTGCAACAAAGTTGAAGTTTATCCTGGAGATGCAAAGATAGTTCAGACCCAGAAAAATCTATCAACACAGCATTTGTAAAGTTGCGGTAACATCTTACGGAGAAAAAAATCCCACATCACTGGCGAGGTTCAGCAGTGGCCATGTACTGGCACAACACTGCACAGCCCATGTGGCTGATCAGGGCTATGCTGCTGTGGACCCTGAACAGCAGCCATCTGGGGATGACCATGTGCCAGGACCGAGAGCCCCTTCTACATTCGACAAGGGGAAGAGGAAGACGAAGCCATTTACGACAGCAGGAGAAACAGGATGCCTGCTTTCCCCTCTGTTATCTGTTTAATTGGTTCTGGCTGATGATGTAATCAAATTACAATGACTGGTATGTATTAGTATAAGCATTAGTAATGACAGGACAATAGGAACAGACTCAAGTAAAAAAGAATTACCAAGGTTAATAAGAAAAATTAATGAGACGATAATGGCATATAAAATTATTTAAAAACCAAATATTTAAACTCACTCTTTAGTAGCTTACCAAGAATCAATTTGAAGAAGAAATAGGAACATGTCAAGTCAGTCTCAAGAGTAAGAAAAACTATAAAGGATTTAGGAGTAACAGTAATAGAAAGGTTGAGCTTTGAAAAAAATATAATAAAAAATTTTATTATGCTGAACACCAGTGGCTCACATCTGTAATTCTGGCTATGCAGGAGGCCAGGGTCTGAGGATCAGGGTTTGAAGTCAGCCAGAGCAGCAAAGTCCTGTAAGACTCTTATCTCCAATTAACCACCAAAAAAAAAAAAAAAAGCCAGAAGTGAAGCTGTGGCTCAAGTGGTAGAGAACTAACGTTGAGCAAAAATGTTCAGGGACAGCACCCTGGCCCTAAGTTCAAGCCTCAGGACTGACACAAATTTTAGTATTAAAAGAAATTACCCCTCAAATGGCTAGAAGGACAAAGAATACCATAGAAGTGTCTATCTTCCCCAAATTAACATGTAACTTTACTGCATGCCAGTCAATACTTATTTCTTTTAAAATAGATAATATTCCTTAGTTTACACACAGAAGTTATAGAACAACTGAGAAAGAATTATCAAGCAAGATGAGGAGAGCTACTGGCTGACGGTTGTGAAATGCTCCTGGCATGTAGACTGACTATGAGGAAAATCCTGGAGAAGAGTAGAAGCTTAAACGTGGAAGAACGTGGCCTGACACTCTTATGGGGTGTAGCAAGAGAAAGAAGAAACAGGGGTTGAGAACAGTAAGCATGGCAGAGCTGATGGCCACGAGCAGGTTTGGGTGAGACTCCTTGGAGAGGTAAAGGAAGACAGGAGGTACACGTGAGCCCACACTGGTACCTGTCTGGGCGCTGACATGTGCAGAAAAGGAGCAGAACACACACCTAGCACACCCTTTCTACAGTACACTCCCGGTGGGATGGGTACTTGGATGGGGCTTGGAATAGGAAGACAATAAAAGTTCTACACACATAACCTCTTTTACCCAGACACCCTCATCATTCTTATTCAGCCTGTGAGGGAACTAGAGGAGTCACATGTTTCTACTCAGCCTACCAGGGAACTGGAAGGAGGAGTCACATGCATGTGTTTTTTGTTTTTTGTTCTTTGCATTCTTACCATCAGGAGGGTTGAGCCCAGGAGGGCATTGGATTAAGGGATTTAACACTAGGCCCCTCATAGCTACTCAATACATATGTATTAGGAGAAGAAGATTCATCAAAAACCAAGCACTGCACTTATTCACCACAAAGCTAAAGCAAACACAAACAAGTGCTGTAAAACACAGTGAATGGAGAACCTGGATTTTGAGCAAGGAAGGGCAAAAAATCTACCCACTCATCCATCCCTTCCCTTCTCCCCTGCTTCCTTCCCTGTCCCCAGTCATGCTGGGAGTGAGTATTCTCTGCCCTGTGGTATGGGAAGCCCTGCTCCCACTGAGTTCATTATCAATAAAAATTAATCGCAAAAGCCCTATGATTAGAAAATTAAGATTGGAAAAATATCAGATGTTTTCTATATTTAGTGCACCAGTCTTTTACCATGGATGAAGATTTTCAGTCATTCACATTTGACTTTATAATTCTTAATCTTCTCTCTCAAAGTCTCCTGAAGGAACCCAGTTAGGGGCAGAGCAACCTCGGATTCAAGGGGATGGCTGTGCCATTAGGGGGAAACTCTAGGTAAAGAGCACTTTTCCCTAGCCTCAAATAATGAAGCCTAGATGGAGATAATGTTAGCATCCATCATGACCATCCCAGCGGACCACATGGAGGCAGGCAGGCACAGGAGCAAGATTACACCTGAAGCGAGTCTCTCAGCCCACGTGGTAGCCTCTCTTTTTGCCAATTGTAATTGTCTGAGCACTCACAGAAGTTATATAAGTCCCATAAAATATTGGGGTTCCAGTGTCCCATGAAGTAGCCACGTGGAGTTCCAAATTTGGGGCCAAATTTGATTGCATTAGGCTTAAGATTGGGCTCAAAGTTGAGTGGTTTTTATGAAGAATTTTAGTTGTGTCCCTCCCATGGTAGGGACCATGCTTGGTTAAGACCAAGCATCCTCAGAAGTAATGTTCAGCTCATACGAGGGAACACCATAGCAAATGTGATCGTCACCACAGTTGCTGGGTCCCTGGGCCTTTGAGGACCTTGAAGTGAGGTTCAGAACTTGACAGCCAAAATTTTGTCCTAAGGCCCTGCAGCCTACATGAAGGCCCTGCAGCCTATATGGAAATCTGAACTCTGAACCTCTGGACTAACTGGCCACTTACCCGAGAGTAAGAACCAATCATCCACTGTTGGATGGGTAGGAGGTAAAGCGCTTGGTCAGGAGAAAGTTACCTTGGTGGTCTTCTGGCAACAGCAATGTGGGACCATGGATTAGGTCCCGAGGTAGCTGGCCAGACCCCTGTCTGAAGTGTGTGTGTGGGGGGGGGGGGGAGCAAATCCATCAGGGAACCTATTCTGGGTTTTGGCACCAAATGTTAGGGTCCATCACGACCATCCCAGGGGACCACGCAGAGGCAGGCAGGCACAAGAAAGATTATTATAATGTTTATTAGAGGGGCCATATCTCCCTGGGAGAAGGAGCAATATGGCATCTGCCTCTATCCAGGTGGGTACCTCTGGGGCTTGTAGTGAGGTAAGTGCACAGGGAGGTCTGGGTGGAGAATGGGAGTGGCCAGGAATATGGCTGGAATGCTAGGGTGGTGAGGAGCTCAGGTCTGGATGGAGCCAAGGACTGGAGGTGGGGGTAATGCTAACAGAAATAACCTCCAGGGGGCTAGGAAGGTGGCTCAGGGGTAGAGTGCTTGCTTTCCATGCATGAGGCCCTGGGTTCAATTCTTCAGCACCACATACACAGAAAAAGCCGGAAGTGGCGCTGTGGCTCAAGTGGTAGAGAGCTAGCCTTGCACTGAAGAGCTGAGGCACAGCGCCCGGGCCCAGAGTTCAGACCCATGACTGACAAAAAGAAAAAAAAGAAATAACCTCCAAATGATTTATAACAGAGAGCCTCTAAAGCATTTCTTTTTTTTCCTACTTATCCCATCCCCTCTAACTCATCTTTTGTACATCTCACACAAATGTTAATCTATCTATCTATCTATCTATCTATCTATCTATCTATCTATCTATCTATCTATCTATCTATCTATCTATCTATCCATCCATCCATCCATCCATCTTGTGTCAGTCCTGGGGCTTGAACTCAGGGCTTGGGTGCTGTCCCAAGCTTTTTTACTCAAGGCTATAGCCTCTATCTCTTGAACCACAGCTCCATTTCCAGCTTTTTTGGTGCTTAATTGGAGATAACACTCTCCAGACTTCCTGCTCAGGCTGGCTTCCAACTATGATCCTTAGAGCTCAGCTTCCTGAGTAGCCAGGAACATAGTGATGGAGACACACTGGCGCCTGGCCTTCTTTACTTTTTGACCAGATCAATCACTTGGATACCTGTACATGATACTCTAAAGATTTTATCTACCCCACTTCCTGTCCCCAGGAACACTTTGCCCGGTGGCAGCTTAATACCTATTTAGGATATCAGCAGCTTAATACCTATTTAGGATATCAGCCACTCATCTTCCCTATTTTGATATAGGCAACAAGGATCTTGTCTATGTCCATTGTTTTCTCACTATCCAACTCAGGGCCTGATATATGTTCCTCCTAAATATTGTGGACTGAATAAATTAAACAACAATTTAAAATAATTTTTCCAGGGTTAAATAATCTTCTTGTAACAGAAGTTACCATGTGTGACTACATTTGAAAAATAAAAGGTTTTAAAGCCTTTACAATTTCTCCACTTGTAGTAAAGAGTAAGACAAACAGGAGAAAATTGCTTAAAAGAAAAACTGGCTACTTTACAACAGGAAACCTTAAGTATTAAGTTTTATCTCAATTGCCTTGGAATGGTAGCCAAGAGAAATGAATGGCATGCAATCTAAGAAACATCTCAGTTGAGAAAAGGATCTAGAGAAGGAATAAGAAGCTAGCAAACTATTGAACCAGTATTGATTCCACAAAAATAGCCAAAACTTTAACTTTCAAAAGACAAATGGAAATTACCTTTTAAAGATGGTAGTTTTTGCAGTTCTCTATTATTGCTGGCATTAAACCGAGAAGAATTTTGCCGTTTGTCTTTCTTCATGACTGGCTGAGGGGCTGGTACTTTCATTTTAGTAGATGTTGAGGACTGGACAGACGCAATGCTATTTTTCCTGCTGGGAATCTGCTTTAGAAATAAAAACAAGAATGAAGATTTAAAATGGCTGTATTTGTAGCACAATCAAAATATAGAAAACACATACATAAATCTCATCCTGGAACAGTGTCTGTCATTCCATTGTAGACATGAGCCCTTGTTTGGAGCTGCTAGACGATGGGTCTTATGAAACACCTCTCTGGAAGTGGTGCTGTGGCTCAAGTGGTAGAGTGTTTGCCTTGAGCTGAAAAACTGAGAGACAGCACCCAGGCCCAGATTAAAGCCCCAGGACTGCCAACAAGAACAAGAACAAGAACAACAACAACAACAAAACCTGAAAAAACCCACCTCCAACATGTTCATCTGAGAGGGATTCACAGTCACCTATTTCTTATATCTCCAATTTTTTTTTTGGCAGTACAGGGGTTTGACCTCAGGCCTTATGCTTGTTTTCTGTTTTGTTTTTGAAGGGGAGGGGTGGTTATTTTTGAGATAGGCTCTTACTCTGTGCCTAGGATGGCCAGGACTTGGATCCTCCTAGTCTGAAATCTCGCCTTGAATATGATCCTTCAATCTCCACCTCCCAAATAACTAGGATTACAGGCTTGAGTTGCTGTGCCCAGCTCTTGAGTTCTAAGGTTTGTTGTTTTTGTTGTTGTTGTTGGTGGTGGAGTTGAACTCTGGGTCTGGGCGCTGTCCCTCAGCTCTTCAGCTCAAGGCTAGTGCTCTACCACTTGGGCCACAGTGCCACTTCCTGTTTTCTGGTGGTTTATTGGAGATAAGAATTTCACTAACTTTCCTGCCCAGGTTAGCTTTGAACCTTGATCCTCAGATCTCAGTCTCCTGAGTAGCTAGGATTATAGGCATGAACCACTAGCATCTGGCAGTTTTAAAAAATTTTAACTATAGTTAATGTGGTAGGATGAATAACAACTGCCACAAGAATGGTCATGCTGGGGGAGGGGAGATGGGAAGGTGGCTCAGTGGTAGAGTGCTTGCCTTGCATGCATGAGGCCCTGGTTTGATTCCTCAGTACCCCATAAGCAGAAAAAGCTGGAAGTGGCACTGTGGCTCAAGTGGTAGAGCGCTAGTCTTAAGCTGAAGAGCTCAGGGACAGCGTCCAGGCCCAGAGCTCAGGCCCCACAGCTAACCAGAAAAAAAAAAAAAGGATCGTCATGCTGGACCATCAGTGACTCACACCTGTAATCCATCAATGACTCACACCTGTAATCCTAGCTACTTATGAGGCTGAGATCTGAGGATCATGGTTCAAAGCCAGCCCAGGCAGGAAAGTCTGAGAGACTCTTATCTCCAATTAAACACCAGGAAACTGGAAGTAGAGATGTGGCTCAAGTGGTAGGGTACTAGCCTTAAGCAAAATTGCTTAGGGACAACACCCAGGCCCTGAATTCAAACTCCACAACCAAAAAAAATCCTAATCCCACATATGTGACCTTACTTGGTAACAAAAACTTTGTAGATTTGGCTGCATTCAAGGCCTTGAGATGAGAAGTTAATACCGGATCACAGAAGGGCCCAATGCCCTTAGACAAGCATGGGAACATGCTTACCACTGAGAAGGCGCTCTGCCCCAGGGAGCACAAGAGTCTCTGGACGTGGACCCGGTGTGATGACAGCGTCTCCTCCAGAGACAGTGCAGCCCTGTCCTACCTTCACTTTCCACTTCTGATCCCCTCAAACAGCAAGCCAGTCAGGCTGGGTGCTATTGTAAGCCACTAGGGTTGTGGCAGGTTATGTCGAACAGAAAGTCTGTCTGGGAGAATACTTGTAAGGGCTAGGTTTCCTTGCTAGCTCACCACCCAGCCTCAGGAATGAGCACAGGCTGCCTACAGGCCCTTCTCCTTGAGCCAGGGAACTGCTCTGGCACCAGGCTTCTTTATTTGTATGCATCTCTAGGTTCCCAATTCAAGCCTCATCACAATCATTAGGACCGTATATTCCCTTGTGGTCAACTGCAATTCAGTGAAATGCTTGAGTGAGAGTCCGAGGAGATATGTGGCAGAGGCACTGGAGGTACCATGTTCCACAGGCCTAAGGCGTTCATCTGGGCCCACAGCTGACACAGCACACTGGTTTGTTACCACTGGGGTCCAGCAGTGACTGCCACCAGCCAAGCAGCAAGTGAAGATGTAGAGTGTGCTTCGCTGTGCCCTGTCTACTCTAAGCAGTGGAGCTCGGTTCTGCAAAGCCCTTGAAATAGGCCATCAAGCACTCATCTGGAGGTGCTCTCCCTCCTTCACCCCCCAAGCCCATTCCAAGTACTGGGGAGCTTGGAGAATGCACACATCAACTCAGGCTCCAAACTAATCTGCTCGCATCCTTGAATGAAAATTGTGCAAAGCAGTAAAAGCTGCTTTAGTTTTAACAAGCAGCTTTAGAACCCTTGAAAAGTTTTCCAAGATGAGGTCAGCAAACAGAATTCTGACCTGGGAGCAAGGGGTCTAGGGTCTCTTCTCTCTCAGCCTGTGGCTTCTTGGTCAAAATGCACTTCCTTGGGCTTTGATCTAGCTATCTACTATTATCTGAATGTGGCCTTTTGGCCCCTCTTCCCATAATGCTCAAGTGTTAAGAATTTAGTCCTGAGGGTGGTGGTGTGGAAATTTAGGAGGCAGGGCCTGTTCGGTCGGCCTGGGAGAACAGCTCCTCCCCATTTCCTCTTCACCTACCTGAAACCAGGAATCACCTGGCTGTAAGTCAGCAAAGGATCCCAGGCTCTGAGGACACTTCCTCATGTGCTGAGGTCACTTCCTGAGCCGCCCAGACAGTGAGAGCTTCCCCAGTCTCTGCAGTCACTTCCGCATCCACTGTGGTCCCACCTCCCACCTTTCCCTAGATAATCTGGCTCAACACAAGTCCCCTCCTCTCTTTCCCTCTTTTTCTCCTTTTTCTTCCCCTTCGTCTCTGTGCACCTCCATCTTGTGCGGGCTGGCAGTTTGCTCTCCCCTCAATAAACTCTTTTCTGCCCGAACCATGTGGCAAACCTTACATCTGTTACCCAGAACCTGGGAGGGGGCAGAGTTAGGAGCCCATGGATTCCCTCCTCTCTCTTCTCTTTCTGAGGTTTAATCTGCCTCTTTGACCACCCCTCTGTGGACCAACATTCTGGAAGCTGGAGAACCCCACCTCAGATTTCTCACCTTTATCGTTGCTGTCTACAGTTCTACCACACCATTTCCTCTCTACATTTGGTGAGTGACTCCCCTTTACCATTGCTGGCTATGCATCTACCACAGGGTCTCCTCTCTACAGCTGGTGAGTGACTTCCCTCCCCTATACATCTGGTGAGTGCTACTTTACGAACCCTCTGCTGTCTGTCTAGACGCAGCACCAAGCCAGAGGGTATCTATGCCTCACTGGCTGGTCATTTGGGGACACCTAAATTGGGGACTCTGACCCTCACTCTGGAAAAGGTTCTGGGAATGCATCAGGACTCAGGCCATTCCTAAGATTTTAACACTCACCAGACTCCTCCCCTGTACATCTATGTGACTCGGCCCCGATACCCTATGGGGCCTCCCATCCCCCAGTCCTCACTAGACTCCCTGCTGTCACGCTGAGCCAGGACTCCCTTGGGACGATTCCTTCTCCTTTAGTCTCTCACTCAAGCCAAAATGCCTTATAGGTTAGAAAATCGGCCTCAATGGCCCAACCTTTTGGCTTGTGCCCGCAAGAATGCCACGCAGGCTGGATTCCAGGGACCCCCTCTCTAGGTTCTCTCTCAAAACTAGACATTCTGGGTTTGAAACCAGATCTAAAATCAAAACAAAAGTATCTGCTTAGAAATTTGGACTCAGTGTCAATTGAACAATCACAAGTTTAAAAAACTTAACTGCTTAGAAATTTGGCCTTCCCCTCTGTACAGTATTTTTACAATAAAAAAACTTATTTAAAAAAAAGAAATTTGGTCTAAGTACCAACTGGGTAATTGCAATCACTGACCTAAATACAGTACTTTTTTTTTGGGGGGGGGGGGAAGGGTCTGGTTGTGGGGCCTGAACTCTGGGCCTGGGCGCTGTCCCTCAGCTCTTCAGTTCAAGGCTAGCACTCTGCCACTTGAGCCACAGCGCTACTTCTGCCTTTTTCTGCTTATGTGGTGCTGAGGAATCAAACCTAGGGTCTCGTGCATGCAAGGCAAGCACTCTACCACTGAGCCACCTTCCCAGACCCTAAATACAGTACTTTTGACTCCACCATATTTGGACAATTTCTTCCATGGCAATGGTATGTGGTCAGAGTTGATATATGTTTAGGTTTTCTTTGCCTGTCTTCTGTCTCTCTAAGTAAACTCCCTCTGTTGACCTCCACTTCTGCCTCCCAACCATCTCCTCTAGAATGGTAACTTTCCCTATCTTATAGTTCAATCTTTCTCTCTGCAACTCCAGACTGGAGATCATTTAAAACTCACTTTCTCTCTGCCTTTCCTCGAGGGCACCCACACACTGTTAAGAGTGTGCCCCTTCCTTTCTGCTTGTTTGTCTGCTTGCTTGCTTGCTTACTCAATAAATCTCCACTGGGCTGGGAAGGTAGCTCAGTGGTAAAGTGCTTGCCTTGCATGCATGAGGCCCTAGCATCACATAAGCAGAAAAAGCCAGAAGTGATGCTGTGGCTCAAGTAGTAGAGTACTCGCCTTGAGCTGAAGAGCTGAGGGACAGCACCCAGGCCCAGAGTTCAGGCCCCATGACTGACCAAAAAAATTAAAATAAAAAATAAAAAAATAAAGCTCTGCCAAGTTTTCTTACCATCTTGACTTGTTCAGAAATCTGCCATCTTGGATTTGCCAGCATGGCCATGTGGTGGGTTAAGGCTTGGCCTCGCCTGATGCTCACTCACCCTTCCACCAAGCTTACTACTCCACCCATTTATCTTTTTTTTTTTTTTGTCGTTCATAGTGCTTGAACTCTGGGCCTAGACGCTGTCCCTGAGCCCTTCAGCTCAAGGCTAGTGCTCTACTACTTTGAGCCACAGCACCACTTCTGGTTTTCTGGTGGTTAATTGGAGATAAGAGTCTC